AAAACAATGGTTATTCGCTTTGAATTCGAAACTGGAGTATTCCTTGTGAATTCATGATGACCATTTAACCAAAAGTAGACTATTGTGGAATTGGAATATTTCTATGCAGCATACACTCTAAAATATGTAATTATAATAAAAGTTTGTTGACAAACCTATTTGCTGGAAAAGGGTAGCAACACTCTTTTGTGTAACTGGAATTGTCTCTGTCACCGGTGGGCATAGTGTCTGTCGGTCACCAGCTCCAATGGAAAAAGTCAATTTTGGGCCCCCAGGGGGAGGTACTTTGACAAAACCCAATATTGATCCAACTAACTTCTCTAGTAAGGTATTGTTTCCAGATAGGAATGATAAATAGATGGTAGTGAGGCAGTTCTGCAAACAAGAAACGCAAAGCAATCATTAAGGCAAAACAAAAATATCACKTCAGTAGTGAAAGTCTACCCTGGTTCCAGATGCTTGTCTTTTATTATTTTGCTTACTATGCTATCGAGCTGCGAAGCAGCAAGACATTTCTGTTAATCAGTCAGTTTTTACACCAAGCCTCTGGTCTCAAGCATAGACAATCTCACTTTCATGGTGTATTTTAGCGAACCAATCACAGATCGGAGTAATATGATCTGTTACGTGTGACAAGCCATTATTGGTTTGTTTATTTGACATGTTTGACAGCTAAAATACTCTGATCTCTGATTGGACAGCTAAACTACAGCATGACAGTGAGATTGTCTATACCAGGGTATTGAAAGTCCACAGAAAAATGAACAAATTCCACTAAAACTCACACATACCTTTAGAACATCAAAATACGTTACTCTCGAAACAAGACATAAACATTTCGGCACGTAAGAATCCAGTGCTAAYTCCTCATTATTGACTGTGATTCCTGGTGCCAAGGCATCAGCCGTTCTAACAGAAGATGTATCTGAGAGACTTTCTTGCTTTGATCCACGRATATTRTTCTTACTTGACTTGTATGGCTCGTAAAACGTGAAACATGCGCAGTATCTATGATCACCATCTACATCTGTTAGGACGGCAACAAAGAAGGTGTGTGGCTTGGCATAGTAGGAGGTTTTCCAGCTGTTTGGTTGGCAGAACTATGAAATAATTCATTGTATTAAATAATTATCAAATTTCTCCATTATGCAAAGTTGAGGCTTCATTATATNTAGACTATGATACTGTACCGCACTAGGTACACTATCGCACTAGGTAGACTATGATACTGTACCGCACTAGGTACACTATCACACTAGGTAGACTATGATACTGTACCGCACTAGGTACACTATCACACTAGGTAGACTATGATACTGTACCGCACTAGGTACACTATCACACTAGGTAGACTATGATACTGTACCGCACTAGGTACACTATCACACTAGGTAGACTATGATACTGTACCGCACTAGGTACACTATCACACTAGGTAGACTATGATACTGTACCGCACTAGGTACACTATCACACTAGGTAGACTATGATACTGTACCGCACTAGGTACACTATCACACTAGGTAGACTATGATACTGTACCACGCTAGGTACACTATCAAACTAGGTAGACTACGATACTGTACCGCACTAGGTACACTATCAAACTAGATAGACTATGATACTGTACCGCAGTAGGTACACTATCACACTAGGTAGACTATGATACTGTACCTCACTAGGTACACTATCACACTAGGTAGACTATGATACTGTACCGCACTAGGTACGCTATCACACTCAGGTAGACTATGATACTGCACTGCACTAGATACACTATGACACTAGGTAGACTATGATACTGTACTGCACTAGGTACGCTATCACACTAGGTAGTAGTATAACAAGCTTTATTGACATGACCATTAATACAGGTATTGCTAAAGTATATAACAAAACATACAATATTATTTAAATATGACATAAAAATCGAGGCTTCTCTATATACGTGTAGTGGAAGTAAAAAAGGTATTTTACAACATATCTAGTTCAAACACCAACTCTTAATCTGTGAAGCAACCTCAACTTCCTCTGTCTAAGACACAAAGAGGAAGTCTAAAGACAGAGGCAGACAATGAAGAAATACTATGAGATGAAATGGACCTGAGAAGAATCGAAAATTCTGGGAGAGAAACTATGTGCCACCTAAGGCATAAAGGTGTAGTATATTATGAATTAGGTCTGGATAGTATGTAAATAATAGGAGGATTCCATAATGTTTATGGGAGTATGAAATCAAAGAGAAAACAAAAGAAATAATAACCCTTAAATAACGCAAGGAATACTTAAAATGTTGTGTCTGGGCATGAGTGAAATCAAACAAGTCCTTGTTGGTTTGTCGTACTTAAKATTTGAAGTAGAAACTGAGTTCTATAATTCAAATTTAAAATTTACCTGTAATTTCTAATAAAAGCTTTATTAAATCAAAGATTTAAAATGATTTTTAATGACCTATAACCGTGAACACCTTGGCTACGATTCCAAAGCCAAAAGTCAAAATTGGTTATCAAACCTCGATGCATATTGCTCTTGAGCTGTTGTCAAAAACGCCGAAAGTGAATGAATTTTAATAGCTAAAAGAGATCCCAGAAGAGATAAATACCTGATATAGGATTACAGATGAAAGAAAACACGAAAWATTTACGCGATTCTTGAGATTTAATGAATTTGCCCGGGAACAAATTTCACGAAAATGGAAGCTCGTGCTTAGACTGCAAGCTAGATGACTTTTAGCTTCAAATGATATGCATAWGAARGTACTTACCAATTCAATTCCCTCTGGAAAAGCGACATCTTTACGATCTACTGATGGAAACCTTTGCAAGACTTTTCCTTTGAATTCGTCACCTACAAAGTGCAAATGCAATTCAATGGATCGGTATTTCACAGCAGTTTCTGAAGTGGAGCTGCAGTAAATTTGACATAGTGAAAGCAAGTTTACTAACACTGATCTTGRTAAAAATAAACGTTTACCTAAAGCTGAGTCTTTGTCAATGCCAACGACGGCAAAATAGTCGGCAAGACGTGACATATTTTGGGCAAAAAGTCATGTAGGAAGCAATACACCCTCATCTCCAGACGCCATGTTGGATGCTGTTCTACGCATGCCCAGGCACAGTACTCGAGCCCATCCCTCGAGACTCGAAGTTTGCGGGAAAATTTCGGGTTGTGATCAAGTAATTAAGAAKGACAAAGGCACCTTGGGCCAAATTAAAGCCTGATTTAAAGTCTCGATCTTTTGAATGATTTYTTAAACTTAGTGAATAAAGCTACAAAGTTTAAAAAGAAAGAATGAAAATATAGGAAGCAARAGAAATGAAGGAAAYCACAGGAAAATGAAAGAKTAAAGTTTGACATCTTTGCATGTTGTGTAAGAAGATAAATAGATTAATGGATGTATGGAAAATTGAACAAATGAATGAACAGATTACTAAATAAATAAATGAATAATTGGATGGTTTGAGTAATGAATGAATGGACGAACAGATGAGTGGAAATAATAGGATAGTCCTTTAAAGGGGCAAAAATGAAATTATTGAAGCAAGCACAAAGGGTTGATTTTACCTTTAATACTCCTACATTACAAACACTATTTTTAAATAGTGTATTAAGTGTATTTCTTTTAATAGTGTATTAAAAGAAATACAAACAAAAAACTCGCTATTAACATTTTTTAGCACTCTAAATCTTTATTATTTACTAACTTTTAGATAACATCAAAGCTCAAAATGTGTACTCTAACTCTAGATCTCATTAATTTCTGGTTTGTAATCATTCCTGCTGAGTCTATTAATCAAATTAATTGTGGTCAAGTTTGTGGTTTGAACAAAAGAAAACCACTATGGTAACTGGTGGTATATTTTGATCTATTTTCGCTCTCTTGGGGATGGTTACAAACCATAAGAACTATTTGTCCCTAAAAGGTCATGATCAACTAGTATTCAATGTGGTTATGTTTTAGATTTTTCRTATATTGAAAATTAGGTGACTTAAAATATATTCATTCACAATCCGTTTCCATCCATYGGTTATAAGGTTGAATTTTACAATATCTCCAATCATATAGTTTAAATGGACTAAAGAGTAAGTTTTTGCTTACATTACAATGTATTTCTACTTTAAAACCTAAAGAAAACTCCAGTTTCGAGACCTTATTTGTGCAGCCGCAACCTTGAAAGCATGTAACATATATTCTKTTATTTAGCACAGAGAATTTATTGTGGAATGCAAACACTCTGTGTGCAAAGAARACAATATACAAATTTATGCTTCATTGAATCTTAGCTTGCATAAAATAGAATTCRAAACTGGAGTATTATAAGCCTCAAAAGGGATTGCTGTGGACCATGGCCATTTAAGTCCCCTATRTTTATGTCCCTTGTGTTTAAGTCCCTTGTGTTTCTCCACCATGCACCATCTCTTTCCTAAGAGCATCTTCCAGTACAACAAGTGCCTGAACAGCCGTCTTCTTGACCTCCATGTTATCATCCTTGTTCATGAGATCTTTTAGCCAATTGTGAATCTCAAAAATCCCTTCTTTGCATGCATCAAGAAGAAGCATTATCGGAAYGCTAGTAATCACCATGACTATAGAGAACAATAGCATTTGACGCACTATTGCTTCCTGGTGATAACGCAATGCCCAGGAAAATTCAATGAGGGCAACGCCCATGTTGCATGCCACAGGTGCCCCGGAAGCATGGTGCATTAGAATGCCTAAAGTGTATATGAGTCTCCCAAGGACGTAATGATCTTCTCCAAGAAGATCTAAGGTGTTCTGTTTTTGATCAAAATTCTTCATCAAAGGAAAAAAGAAGAGTCCTGCAACATTTGAAAATTTGTTTGCAACAGGTTTTGGTTGTTCTTTTGATGGACCCTTGGCAAATCTCCGTGTTTTCTTTTCAATCCGCTCATCTACAAACTTCCTCCATTCAGGAATTTCTTCAATTTGTTGTGTTTGTGCTTGCTGGGTGACAAACTTCTTAGATGTAGCTTTCTCTTGTGCAATTTCAACAGGCTGAGAGAGCTGTTTTGCAGTGGCAGCAATGACATCTAAAATGTCTAGACGTTGGATRAYACTGTARTTAGCACYATARAATTCTTCAGTAAGGTATCCAGCAGCTTGTACTGGACAACGTGTTGCAATAGCAACCATAYTTTTAAATCTRAGAGATCCAAAGTTGTCCGTCGAGAACTGGTCTTGTAGGTGGAGAAGCAWTTTCATCASTTCAGAGCAGACTTCATTAAGGTCGCTTGGAGARGAGCACACRATCTTCTCAAGARATTTCAATGCTGATTCAAACTTTTCAACATCTTTTGATTCTAGGAGTGCTTCCATGCATTCTCGTAAGTGRTAAAGAGGTCTGCCTCCTTCAAAATCKTCCTCCTCTAARTCRTAYGGYTCTAAGTCATCATCCTCATCTTCTTGGATTGYAYTGKCCTTTGAAATTTTGGTATCTTTGACAWTCTGYTCTTTTGCTCTTGAAGCTTYAGACAATGCAGGCTTAACAGAAGTAGAATTTACTACCAGCTCAGACTGAGGTCCTCTGAGTAAATCTTTGATCAGTTTGCTTTCATGATCTTCGTYGTATTCAAATCKCAGCTTCTCAGTTKTAGGTTCAAATGCAGATGTCAAACACTCTGCTATAATCATCCCGAGCCTGCGAACTTTGTGATCAGCACTTTCCAAGTGATTYTGGACACCAACTAAGAGTTTCTTCAAGAYCTCGTGTTTGTGCTGCTGTCTGTCATTATCGCCAAGGTAACCTGTGATATGAACTATAGCRCAGCTTATGTAGACATGCTGGTTATACGGTGTATGTTGGATGGCGCTACTACTSCCCCAGCTGTCCATTAACTTTGCTAATGCCTCAGTTAAGATCTCTSGGCACTTCACTTGTGAAAGGTACSCAACAATATTTCTCAAGATTTTCAAATCAGAGTAATATCGCAATAAGAGGAATTTTGTAGTCATCAAAAAYCTTAGYCTTGTGTTGGTCAGGATGTCATCGCAAAAAATCTTTGAAATGATCTCAGGACTGTGAGCTTCCTTCAGGAAATTTTCAAGTACAGGTTCTAGTTCACTGTCTGGAATGCCTATTACTAGCTTGTGACAGATGTGCRACCAAAGTGGGCTAACTGACAGCCAGTYTTCAAAGTGAGGTAGAAGATGTGTAAGCAGTGTTTTCCCGTGCCCTGTCATACAGATACGACCAATCAAATTGCTTAGGAAAGAGAGTGACACTTTRTTGGATTCAGTTGCCAAGACAGAGTGAATAACTTCAAGAGATTCTTTCAGCTGTTGTGCAACTTCTGTGAAATAAGCTTCAGGGTARAGCACTGATTTGGAATGGACTYTAAGTCGATTGGCAACACGYTCAGGCAGAGAAATAATATTCGTTATAATCTGTTTTTCATTGAAATTAAGGTGAYGATTTCCACTCACATCACTTTTGAGACAATTGTTAACAAATAAATCCATTAATCGATTGGAACGGATAAATGTTTCAAGTAGTGAGACAATAACGTTCACATTGYCTATTTTTGAGGTCTGGGTAAGGGCGCCAACAAGAACAAGAAATAAATCAGTACTTGGACCTTCAGAAAAGTATTTCTCAAGTTTCCTTCTGTGTAAATCGTCTAGAGAAGAAAGAAAACCAACAGCTGGTTCACAAAGTAAAAGATCTGAGCATCTAACAAGATGTTTCTTCGTGAACTCAGCTSTGATATGATTTCTTTCGCTAGCTGACAATTCCAACGTGGGCAGAGCTCCGCCGGTGGCAACATCGAGTAGCTGGCTCAAATATTCTTGRACGTCATCTATATTGCTCGCTTTGGAGACCCKGTTTTGTTGATCCCGAATAAAACTTTGTAGTTCACATGAAAGAGAGAAGTTATCTGTCATATTCAAAGCGAAATTTGACTCAAAAGTCGAAGTTTCAAATCTTCCTTTCGTCCGCCATTTTCTTTTTTMTCGAAAGAGGAGTCCTGGTGGCTAGTTTCTAGCCTTTTCGTGGGATTGGCTAGAAAATTTGAAATATAATTAATATTTATGTATA